TGAAAAAGAACAGACACAACACAGCAAGACCTCTGAGCGGATTCTCTGCAGCAGAATGACTCGGGAATAAGGAAGCAAAGTTACTTTTCATCAGTGCTTTGTGTGGGGTTTGAAAAGCAAAGGGAAAACTTGTTGGGACAGATGATGTTGAATAATTCTGAGCAAGGACCAGCCCTTAGCAGTGGGGAGCATCAGCCAGGAAATGGGACAAGAATTGGGATCCAGCACAGAGGAACAGCCTGCCCAGGGGGTTTTCTCTTCTGTGAGCCCCAGTGAAGGGCAGGAAGTCTGGAAGATGTGGTCCAAGAGGAGGCTGGCAGGGCAAGACCCAAGGCTATCTGCTACAGATATAAAACAGGAGCTTTATTTCTTGCCACCCAAACAAATTATGGGTTGTACAAGAACAAAATGCTAACTTGGGAAAGGAAATCCACTTGTGTTGGAGGAGTCAATTTACAAGAGCCACTGTGTACAAAGGGTCCTTGAGCATTTGTGATGTATTCCTGTTCAACCCATCAATATGGACAAATTAAGCTGTGTAACACTTGAAAATTACTTTTTTGTTTGTTTGGTTTTGGGTTTTTTTTTTTTTTTTTGTTATTACAGATCACTACAAACCAAACAGGTGCCTGTGAAGGACCATGGCTTTTGTTGTAAAATCCAACCCAGTGAGCTCAGGAACATTGCTTGAGGAGAGCCCCATCCTGCAGGCTCTGGGGGGGCTCTGGGGGTCAGCAGAGCCAAGAGCCCAGGCAGGGGGTGCTCATCCCCAGGGATGGCACTTCCAGTCCTCAGGCAGCAGCAGCTGCTGGAAAGCTCCTTGGCTGACAGCATGGGGCTGAGCCAGGCACTGCTGGCTTCCTGCTGGGAAGATTTTGCACCAGGTAGAAGCAAGAGCAGAAATATGGTAAAATCTGACAATGCCATGGGTTGATGCAACTTACACCCAGCCAGGGTCAAAGGGCCAGAGAGAAACTGGCACTTGGGAAACAATGAGGGCAAAATGGAGTGTCTTCACAATAAGGGGAAAGAGAATTTAACATGGAAATCATGATCCCACTGACTAGAGGAGTGGAAACACAAGTCATTGCCAAGAACAGTGTGTTCAGATTTAGCTTTCTCATCTGCCAGCCAAAGACTGAGCAAAAAATGTGAACATGGTCAAAATGGCAAAAAAAGATTGTGTGGACAACAATCCTCTCTTTTAGGAGAAAAAAAATAATGAAAAAAAAAAAAATCAAAACCTCATGCTTCAGTGGTTAAAACATTCCCCAACCATTGGAAACTATGAGATTGCCCAATCCAGAACAGAGAACATCTGATATCTGCTCATCAGGATTTACCAACCAGCTCTGCCATGATTCAGTTCTCCGAACCCCCTTCATTTCCAGAGTGCACCTCCCCCATTAATTAACAGATGATCAAGGGGCTCCCCATGAACCAGGCTGCCCCAGTCACCAACCATTCCCAGCCTCTTTTGGTAAACTGCTGTCAGGATTTTTGTGTGTTCATTAATTATGGACTTGTGGCTGCAGCCAATCTAGACAGCACCCAGAGGATTCCAGCATGGATAGACTAAAATCAGAATTGTTAATGGGTTTAGGTTTGGGTTTTTCTCTTATTTTTTGGAAGCCCGGGGTTCAGTATCCATGAAAGATCAGCATTTAAGAACATTTATCAACAGGAAAAACAGTGAGATTTATTTCTGTCAATAAAGAAGCAAGAAATAAAAGAAATAAAACCAGAAAACAGTGAGGTAAGATGATACTTAGGAAAAAAAAAATCACTGCCTGCTGCCTGGGTTTTACAGGAACACTTCACGCCGGCCCGGCCTCTGCACGGCACGGCCCGGCCCGGCCCGCGGGGCCGGAGCAGCACGGCCCGGTCATCGGCGCGGGGCAGCTCGCCTTCGCCCTGGCCCGCGGCTTCACCGCGGCAGGTGGGCGCGGGGCGGTTCGCCCTGGCTCCATGGGGGCGGGGGGTGCCGTCCCTCGGGCTAACGCGCGGGGTCGTTCGCAGGGGTCCTGGCTGCGCACAAGATCACGGCGAGCTCCCCGGACACTGATCTGCCCACCGTGAGCGGGCTGCGGGTGAGTGCGGCCGGGTAGCGGGGACCGGCTGGCGGCGCTCCCCTCCCGGGCCATCCCGGGGCTGAGCGGTCCCGTTTCTCCCCGAACCGGTGCAGAAAATGGGAGTGAACTTCACGGTGAGCAACAAGGACACGGTGAAGAGCAGCGATGTCCTCTTCCTGGCCGTGAAGCCGCCCATCATCCCCTTCATCCTGGAGGAGGTGGGCCCCGACATCGAGCCCCGGCACATCGTGGTGTCCTGCGCGGCCGGCGTCACCATCAGCTCCATCGAGAAGGTGAGACGGGCCCGGGCCGCGCACGGCCGGGCTGGTTCCGCTCCTCTGACCCCGAGGAGCCCATGCCACGGACTTGTGCTGCTCGTGCTACTCAGGACTAAAGTCACACAGCAGCAACCAACCTGCTTTTGGTCACCTTTGCCTCTCTTCATCGGCAAATGCTATTAGAGGTTTTATCCAGCTCTTCTCTCACATGAGGTGCTGTCCAGTCATGTTTGTTTTAACAGCAGTGGGTTATCTCCCCTGAATTTCTGCAGATTTTATGCTAAGTGTCTGCGGGAGCTGTTTTGGAGATCTGGGGGTTGATGTGGGACTGAGGCCTTTGGGATACTGATTCCAACCTGGCTTTGCCCAGCTCCTGCTTTGCTGGTACTAAGGCTTCACATTCAGGGATGGACTGCTGTGGCTCAAAGCACGACATTTGAGATACACAGGTCTCTCTTTTCCTTCTGCTTGTGTTGTTCTTGCCCCTGGGGGGGGTCCTTTCCTGGACAGACCATTGATGAAAAATATGCACTAAAGCTCATTTTTCTCCCTTCTTTCTTTTTTTCTTACTTTCTATCTTCAATGATTTTCTGCCCTAAGAAACTCTCTACCTTCTGCCCCACACCAAAAGTGATCAGGTGCATGACCAACACCCCTGTGATAGTCCGGGAAGGTGCTACAGTCTATGCCACTGGAACCCATGCGGATGTGGAAGATGGGAAGCTTTTGGAACAGCTGATGGCCAGTGTGGGCTTCTGCACCGAGGTGGAGGAGGACCTCATCGATGCTGTAACGGGGCTCAGTGGCAGTGGCCCTGCGTATGTATGTGCTGTTTCCTCAGCTAGTGCCATCTTAGGGAGAGCACTTGGCTTTGCCTGCCATAGTCTGTGCAGCTTCAGCTTGACTTTTTTTTTTTTTTTTTTTTTTTTTTACCACCCATATTTGCAATGGGACATGTATTGCAGGTGTCCAGTTTGGGACAACAGGAGAAATTTTTTAAGAGTCAGATGAGTCTGAAGTCCATAGCCAGTGTGCAGTTGTCCATGTTGCAAAACTCGGGCCTGTAGTTTGCATGATCAAAAGCTGAATTTCTCCCATTCCCCCACTCCTGAGCTGGCACTAGTGGGAGGGACACCTGGCATGGCATCCATGAAGGAAAGGGGGTAGGCTTTTGTCAAGTCTGTGACTGATGGGAGTCACAGAATAGTCCTGAAGCTCTGGATTCTCTCTTCCCTAAGACTTACCAGTCCTGGAGCAGTCTTTCAGTCACCTTTTCCTGTCTGGTCTCAGGCGTTCACTGCCCTGGATGCTCTTGCGGATGGAGGAGTGAAGATGGGCCTTCCCCGCAGGCTGGCAGTTCGGCTGGGAGCACAGGCTTTGCTGGTCAGTATTGCCTCTGCGTAACACATCTGAGTCTGCCTGCTCTTTGCAGAGCAATCCACACATCACGCTTTGAGATGGTCTCGGTGCTCTGGCAGAATCTGCTTTAAAGAATGTGTTTGGTTTGAATGCACACAGGTTCCTGGTGAGGGGCTGTAGGAAGTGTCCGCAGCAATCTGCTGGTGCTGGTGGTGGTGTGGGAGCTTGGGCCTGGGAAACTGCTCCTTTGCAGGCTTCATCAGCTCTGAAAAGTGTTTTGGCAGCCTGCAGGAGCCCAGGTGTGCCTGTTGTGAGTGTCGGTGCTGCTCTGTGCAGTGGAGAACAGGAGTGTATGCCAGTGGCTCTGGCAGGTGTTTTCCTTGCCTACAGGGTGCTGCCAAAATGCTGTTAGAATCTGAGCAGCATCCGGGTCAGCTGAAGGACAATGTCTGCTCGCCCGGGGGAGCCACCATCCATGCTCTGCACTTCCTGGAGAGTGGTGGCTTTCGCTCGCTCCTCATCAATGCTGTGGAGGCTTCCTGTATCCGGACAAGGTGGGCAACTCGGAACTAAAGAGCTTGCAAGACTCCCCCCCCCACCCCCCCATCTTATTTTTTGTCTTCCTCTCCCACTACCCCATGTAGGGAGCTGCAGCATTTGGCAGACCAAGAGGAGATTTCCCCGGCAGCCATAAAGAAAACGTTGCTGGACAAGGTGAAGCTGGAGTCTCCTTCTCTGTCTGTGGCATCTGCTAGCAAAGTCAGTCTGTTCACCAGCAAGAGCAAGAAGAACTGACCAGACTGTTATACTGTGGCAGTGCTGAATGTCAGTGTCCTGGTTGCAGCCAGTAGAGGGTTAATCTTTGCAGTAGCCAGGAATGTCATGGCCAGGACCCTGGTTATTCTGTACATCATACACGTGGGCAAAGGGGAGGGCAGGGTTTGCAGCAGGGGAGAGGGGCTGAAGAGGGCTGGGGAGAAGGGGTCCCTCTGGCTGGGTGCATGACGTGAGCAGTGGGAGTAGCATCATGTTAGATGTGGTAAGCAATCGTGTGTGAATCCTTCACCTCTTTTACACTCTCCTTAATATTGTCGCTGTTATTACTGATTTTCTTATCTCATTACTGCTTCCAGTAAATTGTTCTTGTAGCAAACCATGATCTCTACCTTTTGTGCCTCCAGTTCTCCTCTCCAGCCCACCACAGAGGGAGAGGGACAAGAGGGCGGTGAGTGAGCAGCTTGTGGTTTTAAATATTTCAGTGGGAATGATAGTACAGGGAATACCATTCCTAAGCCACAACCGTTAGTGTTCTCTGTATTATTTCTCTTTTGTCCAAGGAAAAACGCTCACTCAGCATGTTGGTGTCCCCTGTACCAGGCTTGTGGCTTGCAGCAGCTGTAGCAGAGGGTCTTTAACCTGTAGTGGGGTTGGTGAGCTGTTCCTGGCACTGATGCTTTCTTGAGCAGGGGTGATACTCTCATCAGAGCTTTGTCAAGGAAATCATTTGTCCAGAAGCCTTGGATACTTTTAGGACTCAAGCAGTGTTTGTGGTGTCCCATGCAGGAGTTTTTTAAACAGGATTTTTTAAAGACGTTTCAGAACTTCTGGTTTCAGAGGTTTCATCCTCTCTGGCCCCATCTTGCATCTGCTGTCAGAGCTTATGTCCCGTCACTGCTGTCACTAGCTGGAGCACATGCTGCCACACAAACACTGTGCTGCATGGTGCATCAGGGGCTGGGCTCAGAATCACCTCTTGGAATGGACCAAGTGCCTCTGCCCAATCTCCCACCCCTTAGAGAGACGTGTGGCGTGAACATCAGACCGTGCTCCCCTCCTCTCTGCTCAGTCTGGTTTGGGGGACACTGACCTCTCACTGCTCCTCCTTTACTGCCGGCCTCGCTTGTGTGGTTTGGCAGGTGGAGGCGTAGTGAGTTTTTACATTTCCTGCTGTCTCTGAGGTGCTGCTGTTGGTAAAGTGTTTGTAGTATTAGGCTTTTGGCTGCCAGCAAGGTATGACCCTACAGGTGTGATAGATGCTCACTCCTCTTCCCTCTTCACATAAAAACTGCGTCTCTGGTGAGAGCTGTGGGTAATCCCAACTGTTTGGACTGGGGGTATCCTTTGCTGCTGGTAGTGACCACTAGGTCAGGAGTCCTTGGGTATCATGTTCCTCCCAGGATCTGTAATACCTATGCAGACAGGCCAAGCTGGAAGTCGGATGGATGAAATGCTGCCTGATGCAAAATGCAAGGAAGTGTTGTGGAAAGAGTTCCCACTTGGCTGGAAATGTGGGATGCAGAATGAATGCCTGAGCTTGAGCTCCTCTGCAGGGAGACAGGGGAGGCCGCTGAGTACTTCCAGAGAGAGAGAGAGCAGCAGATGAACTTCCTAGGTGGTTACAGACCTGTAAGTGAGCTGGCCAGCAGAGCAGATGGAACCGCAGCCCATCGGGGCTATGAGCACCGCTTGGAGTCACATCCCGCGTGCTCGGAGCGGAGAGCAGCGGTGCTGCTGCAGGATCCGGGCCCGGCCGAGCCCCGCTGCTCCCTAACCCCTCCTGTCCGCCCGCTGTCACCGCTGCACCGTCCGCTCGCCCCGAGCCCCTCTGGCACGCTCATCTCGTCCTCCCTGCTGTGCCTGTAGCACGGCAGCAAACAGCAGGCACTGTGAGCGCCATGGACCTGCAATCCTAGCGAAAGGGCTGGGAGCGCGCCCGGAGCGAGCCCGGCGGGACCCGGGAAAGCCGCGGACCAGAGCACAGCAGCGGCCCCGGCCCCGCCGCCGCGGGCAGGGCTGGCGGCTCCGAGGGACCGCGGCCGCAGCTCGCAGGGAGCGCGGAGCCGCCGGAGCCAAGGGCTCCGCCGGGGCGGGCGGAGGGACTGCGCGCTCTGGAACGCGCGATGTGCAACGGGGACACTCGCAGGAGGCTGGCGGCTGCTGCCAGAGATGGCGGGAGCTGATCCGCGGCCGACCCAGTACTTCGGTGGAGCGGCAGCGCTCGCCCCGGGACGGCGCGGAGCGGGCTGGGCTGGGCTGGGCTGGGCTGGGCCGGGCCGGGCCGGGCGCTGCCCCGTTCCCCCGGAGCGCGGCCCCCTTAAGGCCCGGGGTGGTTGCGCCGGGCGCTTCATGAATGGAGACACGTGACCCAAATATCACGTGACGAGTCCGTGAGCGGCGGCGGCGGCGGCGCTTGTGAGTCCCGGTCCCTCCCAGCGCGGCCTCCCCGCCCCGCCCGGCCCGGCCCGGCCCGGCGGCCCCGGCAGGAGGTGAGCGCCACCGGCAGCGAGGGCGGGCGCGGGGGCCTGCCCGCCGCGCCCGCCGCCCCCGGCCCCGCCCGCAGGCATCGCGGGCGCATCCGGCCCCTCCCTCCCGCGGTTGCCGAATGCCCCGATCGTGTTGCAGACCGGCCGTCCTCGGGCCGAGCCTGCCCCCTCAGCCCCGCCGCTCCGCCGGTTCGGCTGCGACCCGGCCCCCGGCGGGGCCTCGGCTCCCCCCTCCCGCCGGGCGGCCGCCCCCACCGCGGTGTTCGCCGTGGTCTGTCGTTCTTCTCCCGAGAACGGGAGGGCCGGGAGCGTGAGGAGCCACCGCGGCGGCTCGCCCGGTTCCCAGAGCAGAGGCGGGCAGGACAGCCCCGCTGCCCGCAGTCGGTACCTGATGCTCCGGCTGCTCGGTAGCTGCAGCCGTGCCGGTGGCGGTGCCGCTCCGCCGGGGCTGCCCCGTACTGGGCGCTGCGGTGTCCCCGAGTGGAGCGGGCTCCCGCGGGGCTGCGGTGTCTGAGCGGCGCCAGGGGCTCCGTGCTGTGCACGGCTCGGTCACGCTGTTCCGAGCCGGGCACGTCTCCGGCCGTCCGGGATATGTGAGCTGTGTGATCGGAGGAGGGCACTGCCGGGGTGGGAGGGAGCCTCTCAGAGCTGGCCCTTAGCTTTAGCAGTGTGAGCAGAGCTAAAAGCAGCTGCGGGGGTAGATTCCTTGAGGAAAAAATCGCTGTGGAAGTGCTCAGGGTTGGGTGACCTCACCAGGGGACCCTCAGGGTGGGGAACACAGGAGGCACTGTTTTGGCTACACAGGTAATTCGGGGAGTCATTGGATGAGACTGTGCGAGCCAATTTGCCAGCAAGCAAATAAACAGAGTATGAAATCCATGCTGGGAGAGAGTGTTTCTGTGCAGTGTGCCCTGTCCCTGCTGACAGACCACGGTCCTGTGCCTGCCGGAGCCCATGGGGGAGCACAGCCCTCGCTCTGCCCCTGGAGCAGGCGATGTCTCTGTGTTTACACGGGGCTGGTGGCAGGTTCTGCACCCGGAGCGTGGAGAGGGGTCCGTGTTGGATCATGCGTGGTGCTGCCGCTGAGCTGAGGGGAGAATTGGCTGTGCTTGTGCTGAGTTCAGGCCTTTTGAGCTCTGGGGAAATGTGTCGAGGCTGCAGTTTCTTCATTGCAGCCATAGTGTTTGGCACTTTTCAGTGTGATCTTTCTTCAGGAAGCTATCAAAAGCTGATCCATCAGCAGTCTGGGGAGTAAGGCAAAGTTTGGTCTCTGCTATGCTGCCCATTCTCTGGGCATTCTCTTTTTGTGAGCCCAGGTTAAAACAGGACCCTGGAAACTCTTGGGGTTGTTCTTTCATTCTACTGACTGCCTTACGTGTTGCAGCACCTTGGAGTGGAATCACCTGGTTTTTGGGGACAATCCTGTTGCAGCTCTGCTGGCTGTTGTGAGAGGCTCCTGCCTGAGAGGGTGTTGTGTTAGAGTGTGCAGAGGCAGGAATGAGCAGCTGCCTCTGCTGTGTCCAGCTCTGCCAGTGCCAGCCGTTCCCCAGCCTGCTGAGGAGCACTCTTCCCAGGGCCCTGCCTAAAGCAGCATGCCTGTGCCCTGTTTGTTTCATTTTGGGTCTGCTGTAATGAAGGCAGCCTGTGTGCTTGCCAGGCAGCTGTAAATTCATTAGTGCCACAGGGCAAGCAAATTCTTGTGGTCCCACTGACCGTACCTGCCCTTGACTCCTTCCACTTGCAAGAGGATGGGGCACAGAAGTGCTGCAGGGGCAGGCATGTTGGTCTCTCCAGCTATTCCCTTTCCTCCTTCCTTTTCCCAGCAGACATGTTGTTTACCAGGTAGGAACAGAAGGAATAAACAGCAGTCTGGGAAGGAGGGAAGAATTGATTTTGTGCAGCAGTTGCTTGTATGCTGCCTGTCCTGCCTCACTGCAGCTGCCTTCTGTGGCTATGCCAGTGTGGCTGGGTGTAGCAGATATCTTGTTGGAAGGAGCATTGTCCTCTAGGTATATATAAATAGCCTGGCTCCTGGCAGGCTGCAGGCTTCAGGAATATCTCTGATGGTGTTCTGGGGACTGCTAGTCCTGTTCACCTCCTGTAGGTCACAGATGCACTGGAGGGAGCCTGTGCCACAGCTGCTGGAAGAGCACTAAGTCATATTTGCTGATGTGTGCATTTGGTTCTGGTCTGTAACTGGACATCAGTCCTGCTGGGAGTAAGGCAGGGGCAAACAAAATTGTTGTTTGACACCTTGGGAGATGAAAGGGGCAGAGGCACCTGTAGGCTCCACAGGAATCCTGGCCAGGGCTGAGAGGGGAGTGCACTTTGGGCTGTTTGAGGCACAGCCATGTCTGTCAATAATATCTATGTGAGTCAATTCCTTGGGCAGCGAAGTAGCAGTCTGAACTGAAAAGCCTGAGGGGAGGAGGTATGTGGGGAAAGAAGCAGGAGCCTGGGTATAAGTCTCTCTAAAGCAGGCCTGGGAATTGCTCTTACCATTTCTGAAGTCTTGTCTTCCATGGCAGGGAAGGAGTCTGCTCTGCTCTGTTTTTCAGCACCTTTAATCTTTGTTTGCTTTTGAGCACCTTGGCTCTTAAGGAGGAAGAAGGTGTTTCTGGACCCTGGCATGCCAGGGATTGACAGGTACTTTCTCATAGAAAAGACCTACAACTGGGGTCAGTTTTGCATGACTGGGAGAGCTGAAGGCTGCTGAGGCATCAGCCCAAATTTGTGATGGAATTCCAGTGTGTCCAAGGCTTTCCCTGTACCCCTTGCTCAGGATTATGTCTTATTGAACCATCCTTGGCAGCATCTGGAGTCTGGTAGGACTGGGGAGCTCCTGGGCTGTGCTTGGGCACCTGTTGGAAGGGCGTGTTCGGGAACCTGCCCTGCTTGGGAGTGACAAGGACAAGGCTGGCAGCGAGTGGCGCAGAGTGCCAGCCTGCTGAGTCAGCATGACTGGCCTGGAGCAGCCACGCTCTGGACCCTGCCTGCTGCTTGCAAGGCTATTTTTAAAAATGTGGCTTCCATGTGTTCCGACTCCTCCTAGTTCTTTAATTTCCCCACTGTAAACAAAAACCAGCATTGCCACAAAGTCTCTGTGGGAGCTGAGGTGTGGAAGGGCAGCAGTTTCTGCTGCTCACTGTGAGTCCAGCTCAGCTGGCTGCTTGTGATTGTCTTCCATGGCAGGGGCCAGGATGTGGAGCACCACGGGGCATTGCTGCTGGACCCTGCCGGAGGAATGCCGTGGGCTCTGCTGTGTCCCAGGTGCTAACTTGACCTTCCTTCCCTTCCAGAACCCAGCTGACAAGGCTGTCGTGTTATGACGACCCCCAACAAAGGAAACAAAGCCTTGAAGGTAACGCGGCGGGCGGAGGAGAGGGGTGCGGGGGGTAGGCATCCACCTCGGGTTTCACAAGTTCGTGCTGCCTTCTCCCCCAGGTGAAGAGGGAGCCAGGCGAGAATGGGACCAGCCTGACAGATGAGGAGCTGGTGACCATGTCTGTGCGAGAGCTGAACCAGCATCTGCGGGGCCTGTCGAAGGAGGAGATCATCCAGCTGAAGCAGCGCCGGCGCACGCTGAAGAACCGGGGCTACGCGGCCAGCTGCAGAGTGAAGCGCGTTACCCAGAAGGAGGAACTGGAGAAGCAGAAGGCAGAGCTGCAGCAAGAAGTGGAGAAGCTGGCCTCGGAGAACGCCAGCATGAAAATGGAACTTGATGCTCTCCGCTCCAAATACGAGGCTCTCCAGAACTTCGCCAGAACCGTGGCCCGGAGCCCCGTGACCCCTGCGCGGGGGCCTCTCGCTTCCAGTATGGGGCCCCTCGTCCCTGGCAAGGTTGCTACTACTAGTGTCATCACAATAGTGAAATCCAAAACGGACGCCCGGTCTTAGTGAAGCGAGCATTGCCTGAGCTTGTCTGTGCAGGGCAGTTAGGCACAAAACCAGCCTGGAATCCCCAAAGCACAAGCCCTCCCCACATGGGTCCGGGTTCCTTTGACTTGGCCCAGGACTGGCCTGCTGATCGCTCCAGTTTATTTTGTTGTGTCCAGATTGGTATGAGCAGTGGTGATGCATCCCTTGTCCTGTGCAGACAGAGCTTCCCACCCAGCAGTCTGTAGCCCTCGGGTGCCCTGGGGACAGACTGTGAGATTTTGGTTTTCTACCCAAAGAAAATCTGTGCAGCGTGGCTGAGAGAAGGGTGGAGGAGTGGCCCGAGGAAAGCTTTCTTCCTGGGGGCTGGGAACCCTAATTTTCGGTCACTTCCAAAGGCTTTATTTCATGACTCTTCCAGGTGGTGCATCTCGGCGCCTGAACCTGCTGCTTTTGTCTCCTTTGGTACCTGTAGTTACAGTTGGGGTGTTCTGTGTCATAGGTTTTATTCCTTTCTAGGTGTGCCTCTGTGCCCTAACCATGGGTTTCCCTCAGACGTCCATGCCGTTAGCTGTGTAGAGTGGCAGTGCTGGGAGGACGGCGCTGCCGTGTCCTGCCCGTGTCCTGAGCCCCGCAGGGCCCCGTGCCGCGAGGGAAGAAGGGAGCAGCGGTACCGTGTTGGCTGCAGGCCGGTTTTGTGCCTAATGCGTTGCACTGAACAAGACCAAAATCACTAGTTGTTCCCGTGTTTTGAGGGTATCAAGTGTCTCTAGTGTGATGGTTTACACAACCAGTTTATGTGGTTAAATAGCCCTTTATTTAAAGAGAGAAACATCATTTTAAGAATTATTAAATTATCTAAGTTTAAAATTGGACAGAAGAGAGAGCGTATTTATAGTCAGCTTTTTTACCTGAGAAGGCGAGAATATTTGACCATATGAGTGGGGAAATATTCTCAGAGACTTTGCTAGTTAAAAGTTAATAAATAAATAATTTTAAAGTTTCTCATGAACCTCCCGCAAACTGTTTGTGGCTCTGAGGTTAGTTTTTATAAAGAGTTATCAGACTTTATTTATAAAACTTAGAAAAAGACAAAAAAAGAGGCAAGTCCTGTTTGATATCTTTTTGCAATTGTACCAAAAGTGACTTATTCTTGACCTTGCTAGTTTCTGTTGTGTCCCCTTGTGCTGGGCACTCTGCTCCCCAGGCTCTCGTGTGGCGCTGTGGTGTGCCGGTGCCTTTGCCATGTGCTGTCATTTCACACTGTTGTCATTTTCCCTAAATCCGAGTGAGAAATTGAGCTGGAATCTCTCTGAATTCTGCAGAAGGGTTCTGGTGCACAGGCGAAGGTGCTGCTGTGTTTGAAGACAAGCATGGCTGGCTGGTGCAGTGAGGTAGCGGCGCCTGCCCCGAGGCGTGCAGGGCAGCACAGGCAGCTCCTGCTCAGCAGCCAGCACCAACTTAGCTTGGAAATCTGGAAAGCAAAAACGCTGCACTCTTCTTCCTGCAGCTAACCTGTCAGAGAAGGAACGTGAGGGAGACTTGTCCAGGCTTAGGAGAAAACTGATGGGATTTAGCTCTGGAATTAGATCCTGTGGTCAGAACTTGTGTTGTGCTCATGGCTTACCTGAACAAGAGGGGCAAGTCTGCAACAAGAGGGGCAATGTGGGACAGGCTTGTCCCTGGTGTCTACACATTGCTGGTCAGTGAGCTGTGGCAGGATCACTGTCCTTCCTGGGGTGGCTTCTGCCAGGGCTTTTAGGAGAGTGCTCAGACTCACAGCTGTGATGCAGCTGAGAAGGTGTTTGTGGCCAGGCTCCATTTCCACAAACACTTTGACTCCCCTCTCCCCTTCCCAAAGATTGGAGCTGATTTACTGAGTTTTAGAGAAGCAGGACATGAGGGGGAAGCCCATGTGATCTCCTGGCTGCTGAAGATCTGAGGGAGGGGGCAGATTGGGATAACACGAGTGAAGCCAGTCTCGTGGTGAGGTACGGCTGTCCTGGATAGGTTTTGGGGATGTTTCTCACTGCTGAAGTGATACTGCTGTCCCCTGAGCAGAGGAGCATGTCAGCCTGAGAAAAGCTGCAGTGTGGCAGGAGAGGAGCAGGTAGTTGATGGGGATTCCTGCTGGAGGAGATCAGCTTTGCTCTGATTGATAGGGAGTTTAGGGAGTTGTTTGGGTTGCTTTCCAAGTAAACTTCCCAAAGGAGGAGCAGGATAGAACATTGTCTCCAGACTTCCCCCTTCTGGCCCCGGACTTGCTCTTGTCTTCTCTGAAGTGTCTGATGTGGCACTTGCAGCCATCCCCCACACAGGCCACACACTGCACAGCACCCAGCAGGCTCTGGTCTTCCAGCTGGTTGTGTGGTGACTGGAAGAAGTGATTTTACAGAACACAGAGGTGTCCAGTTGTCCTGGGGTGTCATTCCCAACCCTGTCCCGCTTAGACCCAGGCTGAGATGCAACCAGCCAGAGCCCTTGGAACACAGCTGAGTCCTGATCTGGGCCAGCGGAGCAGGCGAGGTGTGCATGGGGCTGGTTAGGATCTTGGTTCCACAGCTGGAGCCTCGGGTGTGAGGAGAGCCCCATCAACACCGCAGGCAACGATGGGCAGACACCCCTGCAGCCACGGAGAGCTTGCATTTTGTGGTGCTCGGTGGCAGGAGTGTCGGGTCCCTGCCGGTGGCAGCCGCGCTGCTGTGTCCCGGGTCACAAACAGGGCTGGCAGCCGTGACAAAGCCCCCTGCCCTTGCTCCGTGCTCGGAGCCGGCTGTGCTTCCCGGGGCCCGTGTGCTCAGCGAGCCCGGAGTGGGGAAGGGCAGCTGTGCCGTGAAGGGTCACTGTGCTGAACGAGCTCTGTTTGCCGCGCTGCATGTCGGCGAGGCCACGGTCCCCCGAGTGTCGCTTGCCTGTGGTTTGGTTTTGTTCTCAGTGCAGTGTAGGACCCGAGTGGTGTTTCCGCAGTGTCCCCGCCCGGCTCGGGGGACGCTTGTCCTGCCGGCTGTCCCCGTGCGAGGCCGCCCGTGCCGGAGCCGTCGCCCGGCTTCTCTCGTGTATAGTGTTCTGGAGTGTGACAATTCTTGTTCCTGAGGTGCTCGTCCGTTTGGTTTTCTGCTGTGAGGGTGTCGTGTTCCCTTTCTCCTGTTCCTGGTGCCGTTCCCGGCCCCGGGGAGGGGTCCCGCGCCAGCCCTCCCGGGGAGCGCCCCTGGCCCGCCCGGGATTTGTGTATCTTGTGAATTGTGTACAGTCGCTCCCGGCCGGAGCCGGGGCTGGCGGACAGAAGGGTCATCCAGAGGGCTCCGGGCTCGGTGCAGGCGGTATTTATTGCTAAGTTATTGCCGTTATTTATTCTGTACAGTGTCCGCCGCCTTTGTACGCGACAATAAACCGCTTCCACAGCCGCCGCCTGCGCGTCCTTTGGGTCCGCCCGCCACCAGGGCGCGCTGCCGCGCGGGGGGCGGTGCCGGAAGCGGCGCGCGCGCGCTCTGGCCGGAAGGCGGAAGCGGCGGAGCCGAGCCCGGTGGCGGCGGAGGCGCGGCGGTTCCGGGGCGATGGCGGCGGGCGGCAGCCTGAGCCGCTCTGAGCGGAAAGCGGCGGCGCGCGCCGAGATCCTGCAGCAGGAGGAGCAGCGGGACCGCCGGAGACAGGTACGGTGCGACGCGGCCCGACCCGTTCCACCTCGCCGCGGCGGGCCGCTCTGACCACGCGTGTGCACCGGGCAGGTGTCCCGCATCTGGAGGAAGCCGCCGGCGGAGCGGAGCCCCGAGGAGTGCCAGGTGCTGAGTGAGAGCGAGGACATCGTCAGGGAGCTGGAGCGGCGCCGCAAGCGGCGCGAGCGGCTGCGGCGGCGGCAGGAGGAGGTGGGCGGCGGGGGCGGGGAAGCCGTGCCGGTGATGCCGTGCCGGTGATGCCGTGCCGGTGATGGCAGGGAGCGGCCCCGGCCGCGGAGAGGCGCGGGGGAGGCCGCAGGGCTGGCTGCTGCCGAGCTCTGCAGGCGCAGCAGGTGAACAACCGCTGTGCCCCAGTACCGGGGACGCGTCTGCCCTCCGGGCAGTGCCCGGTGATTGTCGCCGGTCAGCCGCGCTCCCGGCACGTGTGGCCGTGCGGGCAGCTCTCCCGAGAGGGTGGGTCAGCAGCTTCCGGCCTCCAGGAAGCTTTTTGCCGTGATCCTCCCATGAACAATGCCCACGTGCTTTTCATTTGGAAATTGCTGTCGATGTTGTGTTTGCGTTGCTTTTCCTGGTCGGCCCAAGCCCATCCCCAGACTCGCGGCCAGACGCTGCTCTCGGTGACTCGGTGGTGCGGCGTGGCCCGCGTGAACCCCAGGTGTGTTTTGCAGGTGTGCGATGAGCCAGAGGAGCTGACGAGGAAGGTGGCAGAGCTGGCAGCGGCCGTGCGTGGCGCCAGGCACCTCGTCATCTACACGGGCGCTGGGATCAGCACGGTGCGTGGGGACAGCAGCTGGCCCCGCAGGGCCGCGTTGGCCGGGCTGCTGCCCGGCTCCGGAGCGAGCGCAGACGCGTGTGAGCCTGGCACTCTGCACGGCTCCTACGGCTGGCAGTTTCCAGGCTGCATCCCGGGTCATTCCTGCTGCCGGCGGCCGCATCGCCTCCGGCCGTGCAGGAGGCACAGCCTGAGCAGGACTCTGCTCTTGCTTCGCTCGAGTCTCTTCCATGACTTGGTGTAAAACCTCAAGCCAGTTAGCTCAGGAATGTTGCATGTGTTATCTGACATGCAGAGACAGCTGGGCATCATTGGAATTTATAAAGTGCAGTTTGAGAATTGTTCTGTTGCAGTAGCCTGGGGAAAAGCAGCAGTCTGGTTCTACCTCTTCTAATGTGTCATCTGCCACCTTTGTGTGAGCTCTGCCACTCCATTCTCTGCTGAAATGGAGCATGACTGAGGCAGGGGGCTGGGTGCTCATGTCACCTGTATGTTTGCTGGAGATGCTGAGTGTGAGGTGCCAGAAACTGAGTCTAGGGAAAATAACAAAAGGCTCAAGAATGGAATTCTGTGTAGCAAAATGGGAAGTACCAAGGATGAAAAAGAGTTCTGGAGGGATTCCATAATCATAAAATTGGAGAAAGCTAACACTAGAGGAGAAAATGAGAGCTGAAACGTAGAAGAGAGAGAAAAAAAACAGATGAGGAGGTTTCCCTGTATTTAGGGAACAGCTATGCTGGAAAACTTGGAGTGAATGAAAAAGCAGCGACGGCTGGAGGTGTCTGGCTGTCCTGGGAGGGCCTGGGTTGGTTGTGTTTGTGCACAAGGGCTGTGACAACCCTGCCCCATCAGGCCTGGTTTTCTCTCCCGGTGACAGG